ACGTGGCCTAGAAATGCTCTGTTCCAACACCACTGGCATCTGGCCCTTCAGGAGGAGGGCTCCAAAGAATCTGCCCAGCATCTCCAGAATTTAACATACTGAAGTCTACAGCAAAGAGTCATACAATTGGCTTGCCACCAAATATGCCAAATCAGAACTTCTATTACATTTTTCAAAAAGCAAAATTGGTTCACAGGAGTCCCTTTTCTAAGCCTTACTACTGTGTCATTTGCTTCTTGATACTAAATAATGGTACCATAATGCCCATTTCAAGGTCAGAGTGGCCAATGTCAACAGATACATTACCATCCTGCACAGAATCTGATCACTCTAGACCACAGGCTCCACTGTGGCTTATTCCTCTCAGTCCTAGGAGATCCCCCTTTTATTGGGACATTTTGTTTTATCAAAGTCTACAGAGAGGTCACAGGTGAATCTTGACACTACCTTTCCCAGTGAGTGGGATGACACAGGTTGCTCAGAGAAGAGGTACTAAAGCATGAGGGGGGCCTTCCTCACTCTTGTCACTTTGCTTGCTGGCTCATTCACATTAGGGAGTTAAAAGTCCCAAGATACAAGGACGAAGCTGAGAAGTGGCTAGAATCCCCAAGTTCTGATATGGAGGGCAGCCAACAGGAGCAGAGTCCCCCAAGAGAACAGCCTGACCTGCATCAATGCCATCCAAGTGAGATACACAATCTAACTGTGTTGGGCTGGTGGAGATGTTGGATAGCACAGTATAACATCACCAATGCTGTTACAGACTATTTTCTGAACATGTGATTGTGACAGCCATTAATGCTTCTAGTTAAGACACTGGGTGAGGACCCACTCTAATGGCTCAGTGACTAAATCCTTACTTTGCAAGCATTAGGATCCTATATGAGCACTGGTTCATGTCTCACCACTCTATTTCTGATACAGTTCCCTGCTTATGGTCTGGGAAAGAGGTAGAGAATGGCCCAGAGCCTTGGGACTCTGAACCCATGTGGGAGACCTGAGGGAAGCTCCTGGCTCCTGGTTTTGGATCAGCTCAGCTCTAGCTATTTCAGCCCACTTGCAGAGTGAACCAACAGACAGAAGAGCTCTGTCTCTCCTTGTCCATAAATATGATATGCTTTTCCAATAAAAATACATAAATCTTTAAAGAAAAGATACTGGGTGAGATCTCTGCATCCAATATCATAATGTCTGGGTTCAAGGCCCAATCTTGTTCTCAATACCATCTCCGTGAGGCACCCAGATGATGGTTTCACTTAGCTGGATCCCTCCCATGCACATATGAGAACCTGACAGGTTTCAGAGCTCGTAGCCTTGACTTTAGCCTGGCCTAGCCAAGGCCACTGCAGTCATTTGGAGACTCAGAGACTGGATAGATGAACATAGATCCCAAGTGTGTAGAGACCCACAAAGATGGTATGGCAGAGGGGGAAAGAAAAGGAAAGGACAGTCCTGACAGTAACTGAGGGACAGTCAGGAATCTTCTGGGCATTGGAGGCTGGAAACATCCTCCACTGACAAAGATAATCATGCTGTGTGGTGGTACTCCCTCAGACTCAATGGCCACACATCCTGCTATGTGCCAGCAAGCTCTGCTGAGCTGACAGTGCTGGGAAACATATTCCATTTGTACTCTGACAGAACACCTGATAAGGTGCATCATCTGGCTGTTTTCCGGGATCTTCCATGCTAGGTGACAGCTAGCAGAGTATAAGGATGAGTTGCTCTCCAAACCTGGTGGTACTAAGATGGCAGAACCTGGAATCTTAGAATCTTCCTGTTGCAGAAGCAACACACCTGTAGCCAGGTAATTTCAGAGTCCTGACCACTAGGGAGTCCCTTCCACAAACTTTCACACATTTATTCCCTGAATCCAAAGACATTATGCATGCTTCTTCAAGTTCTGTAACTTCCCTTTTCGTACTGCATTTCTCATTGAAAACCAGAAACAACTGCATCATCCCAGCATTAGCTTTCAATGTTGAGGTGAATTCCAGAAAGTTTTGCCTGAGTCATCCCAAGTTAGAGACTTTGCATCATGCTGTGCAAGACAGCCTAAGAGCTTCTCTGGTACCATTAGAAGAAATAGAGGGATACCTTGTTTGATCCTTAGCAGCTTGTAGAAAAATGGCCTTTTAAAGAAGAAAGCAAGTCTAGTTAGTGGAAAGGAGAGTAGAATAAAGAGTTATTTGGATGTGAAGAAAATAAAAGCCTTCAGAACAACAGAGGAAAAGATGTGTCAGAGTGAACAGTGAATAAAATATTAGGGAAATAAAAGAAGTGAGCTGACCATTAGGAACAGTTAAAGCAGAAAAAGATAAGTCGTCGAGACTTGAGAAAGAAGATGAAAAAGGATAAAAGGAAGTATTACCATTGGAACAAAGAGAGCAGGAAGTCGTGGACAGAATAAACATTCCCTAAGACTGGCTCAAAGCTCACCACAGAACTGGCTGCAGCCTGAGGTATGAGGAGGTACACGATGCCTACCTTGCAAAGGGATGACGCCTTCAATCAGCAGTGCAGAGTGCTAAGTATGCAGACACCAATACCAAAATTCACAACACTTGGCAACCAACACTTTCAAACATTCAAAGGGTAAAGTAAGAAATGTCAAGTACACATGTGGTTAGTGGGACCTAACGCATCAACTGACATGTACCGGTCATTGAGATTTCTCCACCCAAACCTGAAACTTGGTATTCAAACTCAACTGTCTTCAGCATTTTTAAGCTTTCTGGTTCTGTTGAGACTTTTCTTTTTTCATCCCAATGCTGCCTGGCATGAGTGGGGCCTGCACACTAAGAGCCCATTCACTCATTGGTTTCCTGATTAATCACATTTTTTTTTCAGAGATGGAACAATTTTTATGTCAGATCCATTGGAAACACATGAGAGAAATTGAGAATCAAAGAGAAGGAAGAAGGTGAGATAGCCTTAAAGTCCTGGTTAATTAGGATAAAAGTCCACTCAATATTTTAGGCATTTTAGACATGTGCAAGTAGAAAACAGAAAAATGTAGCTCCAGAGATCCAGACTTTCCAAGCAATATTCAGCAGGCGTTCTCACATCTTCACGGAAGCACACTGCTGTTACCCACAGCACTGTCACAGGTACAACCTACATTCGGGGCTTGACACAAACACTGAAGAATCCATTCCAATCTGCTTGTGGCATTTTTCTTTTGGACTGTAATAATATATATCAACGTGCCTTTCATTTAGAGAGCTAATCAGTGTGCCCACTCCATAACTCACACACAAGCTTCAAACTTCCAAGGTCCTCAATTTCCCCATCAGTGCCTTCTGCTGAATGTGCTATCGCCGAAATCACTTCAGTCTCATTTAGCATTTACTAGCTTACACAGAACCAAACAACCATAACCCACTTAATTACTTGGGGATTTAAAAAAAAATCCACATATACACAGACACACACAGAACTAAGACGCTGCAGTATACAGTATAGCCCAGTTTAAATTAAAAAAGATCCCCCAAAGTATGATTGTCCCCAGCTTCTCAGTGGTGAATTAAAAGCTGTTTCGTGTCGTGAAGATTACAGAAGCAATCACATTTATGGGCCTGCTTTGCATACCAACTCTATTAATTTCCATACTCTGGGTGGCTTCACATTTCTAGGCATGTTAACATAGATGCCATTTGGGATAATCAGTTGGAGAAAAAAGAGAGAGAAACAGAAAGAAGAGGAGAAGTGCTGAGAGAGACAGCAGAGATGGAGCCAGAAAAATGGTTCTCGCAAATCGAGTTCTCTTTAAATTCATTGATTCTGATAAATATAACAATCAAGAGACAAATGAGGGTTCTTGATAGCCTGACCCAGGAGTCAGACTCAGGGATCAAATTACCAGGAAACACACATTGGAATTCACTCACTGTGCCAGTCTTGCACTTGTCATTACAGACTCTAATTATTGAAATGATTTCATTGATGTAATTGCATTAAGATGTGCATGGGCTTCACCTTGCATAGCTCCCTCGGTACTTCACATTCCATCTTCATTATTGCATTCCTTTCAACTTTTAAAAAATGTGTCCCTATCTAGAATGGTTCAATCAGGCAGACAATTTTTCCTGCTCTCTATGCCTGCTCCACATAGAACAGGAATGATGGAACATAAGTGGTGGGGAAGGCAAATCTGAGACCATGAAAGCGAACATATAAACACCTTTCTTAAAGGAAAAATGAGAACTTTGGAACACATCGTATCATTACCTCCCATCCTTTGTTTGAAAATGTTGAAGAATGGTGCTCAAAAGTCTACAGTTAAATGGTTCTTTGTCTACATCAATCTTAAATTACGACCTGTTAAACTAGGCTTGTTGCACATTGAACAATGTACCCTGGTTCCTATTACTATTAAAGACACCACACTGACATTAATGACAGAAAGTGGACCCAGTCACAAAGGTGTGGAATTCTCAGTTTACGGTGATTAACTGGAACGTCAATGTGTTTGAGTTTAACACACAGAGCAGCCAGTAGAGTTTCTGACTTTCTGAAAACTGCCAAACTAAGTTTAGGAAGAATTTTTGATTCCTATGTCTCAAAACTCACAGAAGTCAACAGTGTACTGTCAGCATTGCCTGATGCAGTGCTGTTTATGAGGAATGGGCACAACCAATGCACAGAAAGGTGCTGATTTTGCTCTTGGGGACAGGGAGGAGTCTGCCCAGAGAAATGGATTACATTTATTTGTCACAGTGAGGACTTCGCACTGGAAGTTTACAGCCTATTTTTCTTATAACCTGGAGAATATGTCGCCTAATGAGGACACACTCACAAAATAAAACACATACCACTAGATTAGCCTCTAAGCTGGCAAGCCATGAACTCAAGACTTTCCATTCTTGATCAAGCAGTGACAGAAAAAAAATTGACAAGAAAACCTCAGTTTAGGAAATAGGACCCAAAACTACAAGTCTAAGACACTGATAAATTGCCATTTGAGAAGAGGCCAAAGGCATCTCCAAGAAATTGCTTACAGTTGAGAACCGACTGGTCCTTGATGAACTCGACTGGTTGATTAATATGGAAGAGCTTCTGCTGAAATCCAGGAGCACAGTCCAAATCTTCTGCAGATGTTAACAACACCTGGGGAAAAAAAGTTATCAATATTTTAATGGTGGCTTCTGTGTTTGCCCTGCTAACTTTCTACCAAATCTGTGGCTTTCAGAAATGAGCTGAGGTTTTACTTTCATTCCCTAAATGAAGAGGTAAGTTGATACTTCTCTTGTGGCTGCCAACAATTCATTCTGGCAATGAGATTTGGAAAATGCACAAATGGGAACAGCTGTTGCAGTTTCCACTAAGTTGCAGTTAAAGAAATAACTTTGTCAGATTTTTACACCTGCTAAGAATCTCACCATGGTTTCCATGTGTGAAATTTCATTATAGAAACTGTCAATTTTCTATGATGCCCAAGTTATAACTAACTTCACTTTCATACATGCAAAGGAGTGTTGTCATCTATGAAGTAATGGGGAAAGAAAGTGGGATTCTTCCATTAAAGTAGTTTCTAAAATGAATCCAGCACCAACTAGATCTTCTCTACAGTCCAGTGGAGGGGAGTGGGGTGTCATAAGCAAGAGATGGCTACTGAGCACTTGAGAAGCAACTAGCCCAAAACTGAGGAGTGGCAGGTATAGATCCTAATTGAATCTTGATAACTAAATAAGAATGTAAAACATGTAATCAATTTATGCTAGTTTCATGTTAAAATGACATTTTATATAAGGTTAAATGCATATGTTATTAACATTCATTTCACTGGTTCCTTTTTTTACTATGCTTTCCACCAGAAAATTTAAAATGTGCTGCTTCCAGGGGCTCAGTTTTTGTCTTTGCAACTGTAGGCTTTGAAACACTGAAGCACAGGCTTGTGATTCACTTTTCATTAGATGCCTTCTCTTTTGTGACTCATTTTCAAATCCACCATTGATATTTTCCTTAGGCTACCCTTCCCAACAAATTGCTTGCATTCAAATCCTTGATATGGTATCTTTTTCTTAAGAAGCCAACCTTTGATACCAGACCTCAAGCTCTTAACCACTGCACACAGGCAGCTGAAGAAAACTCATTATCCCCACCAGCAAACTCAAAGGAAGGCACAAAAGGTTGGAAGGAGGGGAGCCAGTGCTTCTCTCTAAATACCAGCCCTCCAAAATGCACTGAACCCTAAGGAATAAAAGCCAGAATCAATCTCAGGAGGTTCATGGTGCGGCTGGCCTGAGAAACATCAGAAGAGTTGAAACAGAATGGTCATCAGGGTCATCACCCTAATCGACATCATCTTTCTCAAATCAAAGTGAGAAGCATGCTTGTAGGCGTTTCCTTGTCATGAAAGTAGGATCTGATTGCTTCTGAAGCCACCATAGTGTTGACATCTGAAGTGGCACATACACAGAATGTAGATTCAGAAGTCAAAGTAATTTCCTTGTAATTTTGCAACAGAAAATCTGTAAATAGCAAATGGCCAAAGGTCATCTGAAGGCATCCCGTGACTACAATCATATGTTTACCGGCTAATCAGCTAACGCTGCCCTCAGACCACAGACCAGTAAACCTGTCATCCCATAGGTACTAACGCAGATGAATCCAGGATGGAAAGAAAATACAACTGGTGAGGACCACCGTTCTATGGCCATACCATGTTCTCACTACAGTCTCTCCTGACTTCCTGAAAAAGTTTACACAGGATTCTTTCAAAACTGCACAGGGGGAAGGAATAACGGGGTCCACTTGCTGATCTCCAGGAGGGAGTGAGTGGTAGGAGAACACCCAAACAGATAGTTTCATGTGAGCAAATTCTTGAGTCAATCTGTATAATCAGTTCAAAATCTGGGTTATTGGCAGCATACAATCATGTGACACCCTGATGAGCAAAGGGCAACTTAAATGAGGTGAAAACCAGTCAAAAAATTCATCCATTCACTAATTCATAGGTACACCTTTAATTCCTGGATTCACCAAGGACTTAGGAATTCATAGATAAATACTATAGTAGTTAAAAGCATAACCTCCAGATTTTTTAATTGGCTAATATCTCAAGATGATTTATATAAAGCAATCAAAAAAGCATTGCATAAGGTTTAGTAGTCAATGAATGTTGACCATGACACTAGTATGGTCTAGAGATTGGGAGAGACTCTTAACGGCCCTAACTTGAGCAATGATAGAGTAAACTTAAGATGCACATAAAAAGGAAAATGCAGGTCAACTTGGAGGCAAAAATTTGAGCTCCTCTGGGATTCTGAAGAAAGCAGGAATACCAAGGAAAGCAGACCCAGGGAGGAGAGGTGCCTGTTTCCATATCAAACGTGAGAATTAACTGGGGAAGGGAAAAAATGGGGGAGGGGGAAGACCACATACTCTGCTTTCCATTGATCCCTCTGTGCCTCTCTGAGTTTACACAAAACCTCTCTGAAACTCCAAAGTTACTGGTTGGTTGCTGCTACTGCCTCCTGATTTCGCAACAGAATCTAAAACTTGTCAGTGTATGAACTTCTCACACATACACACTCATTCATTTCACTCACAGCGGGTTAGTCTTTGGACATCACTCCAGAACCAGGTAAGGTTTTCTCTAAGATTATTAGATATCGCTCTTAAAAAGGCACAATCTGAACAAACTTCCCCCAAGCCCTATGTAACTTTTTCAGAATTTATATCATGAGTACTGCCATTACTCCAGTGATATCATGGTGTTCCAAATGGTTCTTTTGCCAATGATGTGCAAGTTCACCTCTCTATTAACATGGAACCAAAACCCTTTGTAAAGCATAGAAATGAGCAAATTCTATGATTACCAAAGGAATCCCACTACTTGAAAGTAACAATTAGGTGGCTATAAAAATAAGTTCATGTTTACCATTCACAAATCTGAGCTATAATAGCTATGTACAAACACGAACCTATTCATGATGACAACTTTGGGCAAGTAAGCATCAGTGTCTAAATTTTCTCAGATGGAAAATAGAAATGAGAAAGATCTTTCAGGTCACTACAAGCATTGTTTATTGTAAAATATTACATGGCACACAGTAATTGTTGAATTTTTATTGTTACTTCTACATATTATATTTAAATTATATACATGACTTGGGTGGCTCGGGTGACAGCAGCCCTCCACAGTGGTGGCGACCTGCTTGCAGAGACTACCCGGGTCAGGTCAGACTCAATGCCTGGGACTCGACCCATGGGCACCGTCACCACAAGGTGACCGAGTTCTGGCTGCTGGGCTCTGCCTGCTAGCTGCCACTGTGGAGGGCTCTAGGGATTTTAGGGCATGTAATTGCTGTCTAGGGACATCCAGGGATAAGGCCAGTGTAAGTGTAGCTGAGGGATGAATTCTGTGAGATTCCTAGCCATGGGGTCATGGAACTTGCTTGCACACATGGAACTGAAATCTGAGGGTTGGAGGGGAAATTCCATAAGTTCTATTTGGGCCAAACTGATTCACCAAGCCACATGGGAGTCCTGAGATGGGCTTTAGCGTAGAGCATCACTGACTGCCACACACTGCTTCACACAAAAGCTATGGCTGGTTACCTGTCTGGCAGGGCTAGGTACCAATACCTGACCAAGTGGTAGAACAGGGGGTGGGTCACACTTGGCAGGGTCAGGACACTAACCAACACGCTAGAGAACCAGATTTGGGGGTAGATTATTGGGGGAAGTGTGGGCCCAACCCTGTGGAAATACAAGTCTCACTGGTTAGCTCACAAATTGGGGTGGTGATGGGCTGACCTAGGTGTGACCATGGAATCTGCCATCACTTACAGGTAAAGGAACTGACAACAGTCTAGGCAGGTCAAGGCAGGAGTACCGGAATGTGCATCCTAAAGTGGGATGTGGGGTGGGCGGAGCTGCAACTGGAAGGGGGTGGACCAGGCAGAGCAGAGCAAACCTTAACCCACAAGGAAGGACAGAAATCAGGATGGAGCACAGGTCATGCCGAGCTAGGCTCTTACACCGACTGGTCTGCATGAACCAGGGATACAAGAACAAAGCAATGAAGGCAAAGGCTAAGACAGGTGAGGGGCTATGCCAAGCTGGGTCAAGAGTAACCACTGGCATGCGCGCAGTCTATGGTTGGGAACAGGCCCAACTGGGGAGCTAAGCAGACACCTTAACTGGGTTAGGGTTCCCACTGGTGAGTATGGGGGCCAGAGTTGGGGCTGCATTCTGGTCTGGACAGGGCTGCAGTCTTCCTTGGCACAAGTGTGGACTGGGACTGAATGCATAAAGCCAGGCTAGACTCCAGCACCATCTGGTGCTCTGGAGGACCAGGGTAGATGTAGGATGGACTAGGCTAGGTCTCTGCCCCTACTGAGCCAGGTGTGAGCCGTGTCTAGGTATGGACCAACCTTAGCTGGCCTGAAACATTCAACAGTAAGAATTGGAATGGGTTGAAGGCCAGTCAGGAAAGGCCACTGTTCCTGCTAGGACAGGAGGTGGACTAAGTTGGGTTGGCTCGTGGACCCACTGGTATGCATGAGATCTGACAATGGGAGAGGTTCTCATGGAGGAGCTTGGGAAACTCCTCTGTCGGGATACAGTCCCTGCAGATAAGCACAAGAACCACGATAGGGAGCAGCCCAGACCAGGCCAGGGAAAGGTATCTACTGGCATACATGTGGCATAGGTTGGAGGCAGACCAGGCTGAACCAGTTCACATCACCCACTGGTGAATCCAAGCACCAGAACAGAGTGTGGGTTGGGACAGGTATGGTCGCAACATATACCAGTGCACATTGTGGCTGGGATTGGATGCCTAGTGGGCTTGGCTAGGCTATAACCCTCACCAGCATCAGCTGGAATTGGGGGTGGGCCGGGCTGGGCCAGGCTACAACATCCACTGACAAATGCCAAGGTGGGGTGGGCCACACCAGACTGGGCTGTAGTGCCGAGCCAGTACACGTGAGAACCAGCGGGGAGGGGGTGAAGCCGGCAGGGGGAATGTGGAGGGCTTCCCTCCTAGACAGCCACTCCCACTGGAGAACATGAGCTGGGATGAGGGCAGACCAGACCAGGAAGGGCTGCAACACCTGTGGGCCTCTTGTGAGCTAGAACAGGGAAAAGCCAGGCTGGGC